GGTACATGTAACTAGGGATTCACTCGGAGAAATTTATGCGGACGAGATGAGAAAACCGCGTAAACTCGAGCAGCATCGCGGCTAAGTTAGTTAAACGACACCGGTGGACCATATTTAAACCGTCGGCGGTGGAGACGGCTTCCGCGGTGAATGCTTTTTCTTTGGAGACACCGCCTGCAATATTCGGCTTTTGAAAAGCGGAGAACCATAGCTAATGCAGTGTACGGAACATATTTACCAGATGTTGCAAAATTTTTAATTTTTTGGGTAAAATCATTGAAATTTAATTAAAACTTTAAGTAAATAGTTTGTAAAAAATAATTTTTATATATTTGGGACACTCTGTATATAAAACAAGTCTAAAGGAATACTCCACACGTCTGAAACGCATTTTCCCAGAAAAAAACCGAAAAACTCGATTTTAACCACATGCGACCGATAAAAGGGTTTCTTACCCTTTCAAGCACCAACAAACAATCCAATGGTGTGAAATAAGACCGTTTGAAGTGATCACACTGAAATCGAACGTTAAACCGCGCGAAAATGAGCCAAGTTTTAATTAAAACCGAAATGATGAAGGATTTCACTCTGAATTTCCCAAGAAACCCGAAAAAATATTGAATTTCAAGTATTTTGAGTATAATTGTAAGCTTTTATCATAAAACTTGACCTCGTTCCCGCCCAGCCGTTGCTGAATTATTAATCGACTCGGTTTCGCCTCACTCAGTCAACTTGTGAGTGAGTTTAATATCCAATTCAAAACGGGCGCGATGGGGGAGTACATTCCCGCTTCAATTTCTCACCGTCTAGCCGCTTTCGCAGGCTAAGGTAGTGGAAAACAAACGCACACTTAACGTTTTCGTCGGTTTGCTCAATTCGCATTCGATCTTATAATGCTGATTGCTTTGATCGTGCCGGGGGGTGGAAATCGAACGACTTCCTGTTGGGGTAATCATATTGAAAGACTTAAGTGGAACGCAAAATTGATTCTTTATTGAGTTTATTTACCTCCAAGAGGGTTGAAATGGGAAATTTTTGTAAAAATTTTTAAATGTTTTTAAAAAATTCGATAGAAAAATAATAGCGGCGTTTGGAGGATTGTGGCGTTGATGTGTGTGCTCGCGCGTTGCTATTATCGACCCCTCGCGATAGTGGGGAGGCGCGGGCACACGCAGCACCCGGCGGCGGCAGCAGCAGGGCGGCGTCGTCGCCGTGGTCGCTGCCGCCGCGACGACGTAGTCACGCGGCGTTGCTCGTCGACTGCGGTACGCAGCGGCTCGCACCACCTCGCGAGTGCGTTCATACCATCCTCGTCATTATCCCACGTGCCAAAAATGTCATGACAACCACAACACTATAATTTCATAATTAATATCTATTTAAAAACCTGTTGATTTTAGTGATTTTATTAAATGTAAATGAAATGTGTTCATAATAGTGGTTTTATTAGTGTGGTGACAGTTGTATTAAATTTAAACAAATTACAGCATATAAAAGTATGAATGGTTCGTTCACTCGCGTCCGGCTTGCATGTCCGCATGCTTAACGCAATAATGGCGAATGTAAATAAACGTGACGCGTCGTATTTGCGGCGCTGAAAGTGCGCGAGACTCGTGAAACATTTCACGACCGTCTTGTCTTGTCTCTCCGTGGCGTTTCAAGTGTGTGGTGGATGTGTTTACGAAAATAGTTTCGAGTTGCTCGGTTTATTACTTATTATAGCTGTACACATAAAATTGCATCACTCGAGTTGATTTCATGTTTTTTTCTTGTTGTGTCTGGTCAGAGAAATGGAAGAGTTTTTCACTTAACTGAGCAATTATCGATCGGGGTTTTAGGGGTTTTCAATAAATAATCAAGACAAAAATAATCAAAATTTTATTTTTGCTTAAAACTTTGTAAATAAAACTTAATTCACTTAATTTTTCGTTGTCATATTTACATTTAGTAAAACTTTTGTTTTATGTTTATTTTGAGGCTGAAAATATGCGTTTTCTTTGTTTGTGCAGGCATTACGGAAACTGCCTACCATATACAAGTACATAATTTAAATATAGAACACACACTCATTTTTATTGATATATGCATTCAATTTTCCGCTCAAAACGTTTACGCAACATGAAACCGAAAAACATGCAAAACACATGCAATGCATAAAAATATGTAAATATGGCGCCTCCACCATTTTGTGAGTTTTTAATTGTTTTTGTTAAATTCGTGCGAATTTACTGGCTGCGAGTTTCGGCGGAGTTGAAGTTTCGCGCGCGCGCGGGTGTTCATAAACATATTTCATATTAAACAGCATTATAACCTGAGAGCGTGTGCCGTCCCCGTGCAAACATCCCGCGGCGCCCCGAAAAGAACGAAAATTACGCGCGCGCACGCATTATGCCCTCCTAAGCACCTCGGGTAATTGGATGGCGAGGGTGCAAATTCTCATACACCGAGATATCCGCGAGCGTGAAAAGCAAAGCCAAAGGTGTATTAATATTCACGGCAAACATACATTCACACACGTACCATGATTCATTATTTTCCAATCAGGGATTTAACTTAGTTAATATGGAATAATGAGAGGAAATTGTATCAAGACAATGGAAAAATTAATATTTTTTTACTTTTTGAGGAAAAAATTAATATTTTGAATCAATTTTTGAGAAAATTTAATTTTTGTGATTTATTCTTAAATTTTTTATTTTGTGGGTTTAGGTCTATCCAATTTGACATATTATACAATCCGGAGTTGTGAAGTTGTCGCTGCGATATGATATGTAGGCGGCTAGCACGAAATTGTGTCTGTATTATATAGCAGTCAAAGGACGCTGGGACATTGCATCATAAATACGTCCCTTCGTTGTTTCTCTCTCGCTTTTCATCCAGATTCGGCTTCCCACTCGGTTTCCCACTGACATACCAACTTGCATTGCGTTGTGGGCTAATTTCGAATAAATATTAACGATTTTTCGCATAAAATTGATTCCATTCTGTTTGCCAGGCGATAATTAATTAACAAACCTATATTATTTGCACTAAAACAACATGAAATGTTTATTTAAAAAGTTATGATGTTTAATTATAACTTTTGAATAAAAAAACAAAATTTACGTTTTTTTTGTTTCGGATTAATTTAATGAGTTAATAATTAATTTTCCGGAAGTAAAATATCACGATTGATAGTAATCATCATTCAGCAACAAACAGAAACATGAATATTATCAGCTGCATCGATATTTTTGCTGACTAAAACAAGTGCAACAAAGAAAAGCACCCGCATTACTTTTTACCCTTAGTGAACAGCGAAACAAAGCATTCCCCAACACGCAATTTATTTCCACCGAGTGTTTCATGTTGTATTTTTTATTTCGCTTGTCTTTTGACAATCGTAGGCCCTAATTGGCCGAGACAACCTGTAATGGATTAATACGTGCGTGTTAGAATTATGTGAGGAATTAAATGGCCAGCGAGTTGGTAAATTACAAGCCGCGCGACGCACGATTGTAGTAAGTGTATTACTTTGCCATCCGAGGGCATTAAGGGCGGAAAGGGTGCAGTCGATGGTCATGCTCAGACTACGAGTAGTGAATTATGATGTGGCTTAATGTGCATTGCACACGCGGTGTAAGGTGATTGATAAAAAGGGATACAAAGTTGAAATCTTATGATTTTATGTTTTTTTTTTTAATTTATTCGGAAATCTTTGAATATTTTGTATGTTTTTTTTCTTTGTGGTGTATGTGAGTATTAGTATATCACCTCCGCAATGGATTATTTATTCACAACGCAATGAATGAAAAGCGTCCGAAGCGCCCGACGGACGAATGAATGAATTCGCCGGCGAACACAATTTCCAGTTTAACTGCAAACCCCAAATCGAAATTGAAATGCACCCGCCTCGATGCTGATGGTGTTCTATTTTAGCTGATCTCTCGACTGCCAAATAAAAACGAACAAAATGAGAGAAAACAGTTTCAACTGCAATTGCAAACAATGTATTATGGCGGGGAATATTCACAAAAGTTTAAATTTGCGTATATTTTTAAAATTATTAGATTTTGGCATGGGAAAAATAGGAAAATCGCGTAATTTTCAAATTTACAAACAAAAAGTTGTTTAGTTGCTTGTTTATTGAAAAGTCAATTTAAAATCCCATCAACAGCGCTAATCAATGATAGAATTTCTATTTTTTGCGTTTTTCTACTTTAATTTAGTTTTTTTCACGTTTTTGAAACATTAAAAATTGTATTTTAGACACGGTCGTGACAAAAGTACTTTAGTCACGGGTTTTAGTCACGGAGTGGAGCTTGCGCCTGCGCATTTGCTTTCCGTACAGCACAAAAACACAAAAATTGCGTAATTTTAAAATTTACGAACAAAAAACTCTTTCTATTCGTTTGTTTATTGAAAACCCAATTAAAAATCCCATCAAAAGCACTAATCAATACCACAGTTTTTATTATAATGTTTTTCTAGCAAAACCAAAAAAAAAAATCCGTCCGGAAATCATTTTCCATCGAAAACACCACTAATATTTAAAAACCTACTAAACTCTAATTAATTAACGAACATGCATCACTAAAACGTGCGCCCCGGGCGTTTCCAATCAGTGAATGTCAAGGATATTTATGATAGGAAAAAACAATTAAAATTAAAATGTGTTCACGATGCAGTCGCTGCTGTAACAACGACGAAGACGAGGATCGCGCGCCTGATTCGGAAACGTGTTCAGGTACTACACAAACTGGGGGCGCAGATGAAATTACGCACTAAATTAATTGCTCATTTGTTTGATTAACGATGTATATTGCGAAGGTGTATCGTTTGCAAATTGCCATCTATTTAATCTTATAATATCTAATACGGTTAATTGATTCATATTATTAATGTGTTTTTAATTTTCGTCGATTTATTTTTATTTCTTGATAATTTAATGAATTAATTTGCGTTGTTTAACTTGTTGTAATGTTTTGATTGTTAATCGAATTCGTTTGGTGTGTTTGCAGAAGAAGAATGGAATTCAGACGGAAAACGAGGCGGATTGTCCGGCAGCGAGTCTGGTGAGTACTTTTTTTTTATTCTTTCGTTTTTCATTAGTTTTGTTGACATTGTCGTCGTTATTGTCACGTTCGACATTCGCGTGCTCCTGGCGTGTCATTTTCTCTGCTGCTGGTGCATTTTTAAAATGCTTGCGCAAACATTTCTATGCCGGCTTGATTGTTAATTGATCTTAATGTTTTAATTGAATTATACTAGTCACGATAGCAGGAATTTTGTTTACGTTAGTAAACTGGTTTGTGCAGATTTAATGCAAAAAGTGATTAATTAAATTACACACACACAGTGTGTCAGAGTTTATCATATATTGATAAGTTTATTTTATTTTTACTTATCTATCATATTTAAGTAGCACTTAATTTTGCACTTAAGTAAGAATAAATAAACCAATTGGTGTTTTGATATATTTTGTGATTGAATATCACCTTCGATAGCTCAGTTGGTAGAGCGGTGGACTGTAGAATTATAAATACTGTGGACATCCATAGGTCACTGGTTCAAATCCGGTTCGAAGGAAACTTTTAAGTTTTCTTTTTCAAAAAATTAGACATTTACAATTTAATTGTATTTATTTGCTTGTAATTATCTTGGATTGCTTTTTATTGCGGTTTTATTTTTAAATATTATCACACAAGTTTTAAAAAATGTTAAAGAGTGACATAGAAGAGCTAAGTTTGTACGCGAAATCAATCACAGTCATATAGTTATATATTTCAACGTAAGATGGCGCTAATATGCACTTATTTGCATTAAATTCGCGGAAGGTGATACCTGGGCCTTTTCTAGCTCAACGCGTAATCTCAAGTTGAAGGCCAGCGCAGGTAAAGATCAACTGTTCATAAAAGAATTGCATCGTTTTATTTTCGACTCGATATTTATAACAACCTTCGATAGCTCAGTTGGTAGAGCGGTGGACTGTAGAATTGAAATAATTGTGAACATCCATAGGTCACTGGTTCAAATCCGGTTCGAAGGAAACTTTTTAAGTTTTCTTTTGTTAAAATATTAGGAATTTACAATTTAATTGTATTTTTCACTTGTAATTATCTTGGATTGCTTTTCATTGCTGTTTTATTCTTAAATATTATCGCACAAGTTTTAAAAATGTTAAAGAGTGACATAGAGGAGCTAAGTTTGTACGTGAAATCAATCATAGGCATATAGTTATATATTTCATCGTAAGATGGCGCTAATATTCACTTATTTGCATTAAATTCGCGGAAGGTGATACCTGGGCCTTTCCTAGCTCAACGCGTAATCTCTAGTTGAAGGCTAGCGCAGGTAAAGATCAACTGTTCATAAAAGAATTGCATCGTTTTATTTTCGACTCGATATTTGCAACAACCTTCGATAGCTCAGTTGGTAGAGCGGTGGACTGTAGAATTATAAAAATCGTAGGCATCCATAGGTCACTGGTTCAAATCCGGTTCGAAGGAAACTTTTTACATTTCCTTCAATTTTTCTATTATCTCCAATTTGATTAAAAGATGCGTCATGAAAAATGATCCAAATACATTCGAATACATTTTCATTCGGTTCGCGTATTTCACTGCTTATTGCTTATTGCACATTTCTCATACGACAACACCGAGATCGACTCGTAAGACCGAAAATATTTCCCCACACGCGTGGTGGTGCACGATGTGTGCGTCGTGTCGCCGGCGAAGAGCACGATGTTTGAATAAAAGTTAACAAGCTCCCTTTCACAATCCGACGCTTCCTTCGTCGGCTGTGTCGTTTTCGGTCATGCATTCATTCCGTGTTCCAGCCGCCATCCCGGGACGACGACACACGCACGCAGGGTGTCGCATTTGCAATTCGTACCGACCTTCCATTCGTCTCCAGCGCTGCCTTTTTCGTTTTTCATATTATCCTCGAGCACATTCTTATGCGAAAACCAGCAAACCGTACGAATAGAAATAAACCAAAAACACACAAGATTTAAATGGAATAAAAAGCAACCAAAAAATAAAACTTTAGAAAAAAGTGCTTTAAAACGAAACCGTATTTATATTATGGTCAACATTTTGTGCACTTTTCGTGTGACAAAATGGTTAATGGCGCACGTTCGCCACGCTGACAGTCTGGGAAAAGACTCAGACTCAGAGAAATTCGATGCGTAGTTTTATCGACGCGCTGGCGAATTTCACACTTTTTCACGTTTCGCCGGCGCCGTAAATAGTTGTGACTCGTGACACCGGTAACATCCCTTCGAGCATCCAGCGACAGGGCGATGAAAGCCGCAAAGCCGACATGCGCTAGGTTTTCTTTTATGATTAAATTTCGTGTTTCTCAATTCTCATATTAGATATTACATGTTTACACTCCTGGGAGTGGTAGACATTTTTCTGTATTTTTTTATTAACAACTAGAGACACATAAGTGTTTTTTTCATACCCACAGCGCCATCTAACGATGTTTATCTCAAGTTAACGTTGTATAAACATAACCTCATTTGAGTGTTTATTTCACGCGTACATTTTTCAATTTTCTTCAATTCCACACATCTTACGGCTCCAGTTGACTAGATGAAGAGGTTTTCTAGACACCCCCTCACTCGGACTCGCACAACACGTTCGCAGTCTCTTGAGGAGACAGTTTGTATCGATTTTTTGTCCGCCGGCGGTATAATGCCCCAACGAGGATACGCCTCATCCCCGCACACGCGTTTCGCATCCTTTCGTTCTACGGTATGCTTTTGAGGCGAACTTACTCTTTTGCGCAAAGTTATGTGTACGTAGGCGGCGGCAGCGGCGGCGGCAGTGGGAACAAAAAGTGCGCGCAGTGAACGCGTGTTTTTGTTGCTATTGCTGCGAGCGTTTACTGGGAGCTTCCAACTAAACTATCTTTGCAAAATGGGCAAGAAGTGCGAGGTGAAAAAATTGCACGAGGGTAAAAAAGCGTTGGCTGCAGACTCTAAGCGCTTTAAAATGGAAATTGTTAATTGAAGCGTAAATTTAACGAAAATATTATGAGGATAGTTTAGTTTGGGATTAATGTTTTTGATCGGTTGTAATCTCGAGCAATTTTAGATAAGGTCTTTATTTTTAACTAGCTGTTGCCTGCGACTCCGTCCCGGCAGTGTTTAATAAAAATGTAATTCGTTTTTACTCTCTTGTTCTGGACATACTCGTAGTAAGAGTCAATTCTATCAATAAGATTAGCAATTTTAATTTAAAGAAATTAATTATATTAAGTTTTGTCAATAATGCACTTCGGCGCGCCATCTCGAATTCAACTATTTAACTATAACTATGATTGAATCTCAATGTCAAATTTTATTCTATAGAAAAGAGCTGTTTTGAGGATTTTCCCGGCAATTATTCGAATTTTTCTCACCTTTTAAACCTTCCTAGACCTCCACGAATAATTCAAGACCAAGATAAGATAAATCCGTTCAGCCGTTCTCGAGTTTTAGCGAGACTAACGAACAGCAATTCATTTATATATATATATAGATAGATTTTGGAAAGTTGGGGAGTTATTAATTAAGTGGGCTTATCAAAGGAGAATATTTTTATAAACAAAAGCGATTAACAACCTTCGATAGCTCAGTTGGTAGAGCGGTGGACTGTAGAATTGTTAATAATTGTAGACATCCATAGGTCACTGGTTCAAATCCGGTTCGAAGGAAGCTTTTAACTTTTCTTTTCTCTAAACATTAGGGATTTACAATTTAATTATCATTTTTTGCTTGTAATTATGTCGGATTGTCTTTTATAGCGGTTTTATTCTGAAATATTACCAAACAAGTTTAAAACATGTTAAAAAGTGACATAGAAGAGCTAAGTTTGTACGTGAAATCAATCATAGTCATATAGTTATATATTTCATCGTAAGATGGCGCTAATATTCACTTATTTGCATTAAATTCGCGGAAGGTGACACCTGGGCCTTTGCTGCTCAACGCGTAATCTCTAGTTGAAGGCTAGCGCAGGTAAAGATCAACTGTTTATAAAAGAATTGCATCGTTTTATTTTCGACTCGGTATTTGTAACAACCTTCGATAGCTCAGTTGGTAGAGCGGTGGACTGTAGAATTATAAAAATCGTGGACATCCATAGGTCACTGGTTCAAATCCGGTTCGAAGGAATCCTTTTTTTGTTTATTTGGCATTTTTGGAACACAATTCCTATGAAATTGATTAACTCCATCAAAGATATACTTGATGAAAAGATTCTTGGCGGTAATAAAGCCTCAAATTCAGTTTTGAAAAGTCGATCCAACTATCTATCCATCGTAAAGTTTCCGGCGTTGGTGGCCGCTATCATGCGGTATGTAATAGCCTGCTAATTGAAACTACTTGCTGGTAGCTGAGCTGCTACTTGCTGCTCGAGTAACCCAGCGCGAGCCCAGCCGACCGAGAGTCAATTATTTAAGAACTTTCACCAAACTTGTTGGATCTCCCTCTACCAACTGACTCAAAACCAGGCTTTGTATTCGTATTCTTGTCTGGCAGTACAGGCGACGAAACTGTATCTCATTCTACTACTCTGGTAGATTTAGCAGGAGTATAATTTTGATCTACTTTCGCTTGAAATTTTTGGGCTGTGCTCTCGGTGCATTCATAAGTTTGCAACAACCTTCGATAGCTCAGTTGGTAGAGCGGTGGACTGTAGAATTGTAAAAATTATGGGCATCCATAGGTCACTGGTTCAAATCCGGTTCGAAGGAAACTTTTTGAGTTTTCTTTTGTGAAAAAATTAAGAATTTAAAATTTAATTGTATTTTTTGCTTGGAATTATCTTGGATTGCTTTTTATGGCAATTTTATTCTTAAATATTATCACACAAGTTTTAAAAATGTTAAAGAGTGACATTGAGGAGCTAAGTTTGTACGGGAAATCAATCATAGTCATATAGTTATATATTTCATCGTAAGATGGCGCTAATATTCACTTATTTGCATTAAATTCGCGGAAGGTGACACCTGGGCCTTTGCTAGCTCAACGCGTAATCTCTAGTTGAAGGCTAGCGCAGGTAAAGATCAACTGTTCATAAAA